TAACTCTTTTCTAATTAGGTTATTGTTAATTGCTAAAGTGGATCTAGTTGTAAAATGACTAATGTAATGTAAAGCTAGTTACCTATGAACATTCTTCTACCAATTTCAGGTTGTTTAGTGATTATTGTCCTATATCTGTATTCTCTAATGCATTGATTAGCCAAGTCCTTTTAGTAAGAGGTGCCCGTGGTAACTAGTGGAGTTTTATGCCTCATGATATACTCATTCAATTGATTAAACTCCTAGCCAGTCACTTAAATCTGTCTTTCGTTTCCAGAATGACTTTTTTTCTGTGTCATTAGAGTGGATGTGTTAGATAAGGACATACTATTGCCAGGCTGCAAATAAATAACAAAGTTATTAGGCTTCCCCTCATTTAATGAGATCTCTAAAGTGCCTTAAATATCACTCAAGACTTGTATTGTGAGAAATCACTTTTAGAGTTCTAATTTTATTTTTTGTTAATATAACAGTGTCTACTTCTACAGTATAAATTCTGTTTAGCCAAGCAAATCTAACTTTTGTGTCCTTTGGGAACATATTCCTCATGTTTTGTAATTTGTGCAAGATGTAAGCACTTACTTTCTCCCCTGCACTTTCTTTCTATCTGCTATCTATCATTAATTTATATATTCTTAGTAGGTGGCTCTTTACGGATATCAACATTGTTAAACTCCTCTGGCAATGAGTTAGATGAAGGATCCAAAAGAAGAATTACTATTTTTCCAACTATTTATCTTTGGAATTTTTTTAGCATGATTATATCCATTTCTTGTTTTCTCTTACTGTATTTGACAAATATTTAGGTACTAAACATGAAAGTACTTTTTTTCTGTCCTTACTCTTAAAATAGTTAAGCTCAGCTGATAATGTCTCAGTAGGATTAGCAGTCTTGCTTCTACTGCATTGGATTTTAATTGCTCCCCCATCTTAAGTTTTTTGTAATAGTTGCCTTAGATGTGTTTTAAAATATATTTAGGGCTTTCTTTTTCCTTCACACAATAAAAATTTTGATAGACAAGATAACAACTCTGTATTCCTTTACTGTCTTCATGCTCTTCCTCCTACCAAAAAAATAGTCTTTTCTATTTCTGTTTAAAATATGGGTAAGTGCAATTATTGTACTAATAACAATTAAAATCATAAATAAAAATGTGAGCCACTCAAATTTCTTCATTAAGAGAATGTCAGCATCTTGTTATTGTATTACAGATGGGGTCTTGCTATATTGTTTGGGCTGTAGTGCAGCGGCTATTCACAGGTGTGATTGTAGCTTATTACAGCCTCCAACTGTTGGAGGCTACAACTCTAGCCTCCAACTTCTGGCCTCAAGCAATCCTCCTACCTCAGCCTCCTCAGCAACTGGAACTACAGGTGTGTGCCACCAGGCCTGGCTACTTTTTGGTGAATATCCTAGTGTCTGGTGTTTATGTACCACAGAAGTGCATAACTATTTCCATCCTGAAGCCTCACTCTAGATGGTAAGTCACAGTGAAAGAAAATGTTACACCAACTTCAGCTGCATATATAGACATTTATTACCAAGCAGATACAACAGCCGTAAAACTTATCTGTAGTCCTGTCCCAAGGGTACTCAGCATCTTGCTGGAAAGCCTTGCTCTATGACTAATGTGATGATGCACTGGGCAAGCCTCATGTCAAAGCAGGAAGCGGGATCCTCCAAACTCTGTATGTAAGAAATATTATCTTCCTTTGTGTTCCTAAATCAAGGGTATTCTCTTTTGAGTTCTCCTCCTCTTTGTCTTAGCAGGAGATGAGACTCTCCTCCTCTACTCTCTAGATAAAACTAAGATTCCTTGGGTCTTAAGCAGATGGAAACATCTGGAGTTGGAACTTGGCATTGAGTTCACATTTAATAGACTTTCTGTTTAAGCTTACTCACACGGTTTGTGAGAATATGTTGTTCTCTATGCCAAATTTTTAACCTAGTAACATTTTTTTTTTTAGCTTCCACCACCACAGTATTTTATGATTGGTATCAGGCTTCCTTAGATCACTTTATCCGGGGCGTATGTCAGTCATTCTTATATAGGAGTTGGTCTCTATCTTTATCTGGTACTAAGTGAGTCATCAGGTGTTAGTCATTGGACCCCCACACCCCCAACCTGCCTGTTTTCAAGAACACAAAAATGTGAGAAAAATCTGAACTTTGTTAACTTCTCCAGGGTTTTATAATCAATAATTATAATTTCAATAGGCCTGTAAAGTTTGTGTTTTACCATGTTATTTTATTTTGAATTACATGAATGGGTGGGTAGGGACATTTAAATTTTTTCATTGTTTAAAACCTAGAAAGATCTTCATGTGGCTCTAGCACCAGGGAACAACTACCCAGCTCTCTTTCCAGCTTCTGTAGTGTGCTTTCACCCTCCATTTCCCATCCCTCACCCCCTAGGACCAACCTCGACTTCTTTTGGAAGGCTGGCTTTTGGTTCTAGGGTAAAAACTGCCAGTCTTCCTCTAATTAATTAACTGTTAAATACATGTAAGTTTTTGTGGTTTATTTTCTTAAAGATTTTGACAGTTAACCAGCTTGTTCTGTGTTGTGAGGTACATTGCATACATTCTTAAGTGTATTAGCACTGGCATATTTTTATGTAATTTTAAAATTTGCCAAGTGAGTGTCAATAAATATTTCAATTAACTATAATTTTAAAAGATCTATGAAAACAACTATTTATAATAGCTTTAAAATCATGGGAATTTTAACTTTTAAAAAGTTTAAATCCTAATTTTTTTAATAGTTGTTTTAACCCAAGTAGTGTACTTAATTCTATTTAATTATGAGTGTTATGAATAAGAGAATTTAAAACCCTCAGTACCTTGCTTGATCACTTTTTAATTTATGTTGATATTCAGGTACAAATACTTTGAAAAAAAGAAAAATTGAATTTAAATGCTCAGACTGAAAAGAATGAGTATTCTTTAAGTTGGTAAGATTTCTTTAGGCAAGCTATAGTTTTGCCATTTTAAAAAAGTCCTTAAGTGCATATATTTCTAAAGTGTAATTTATGGAGAACTCTTGTCTAGAGCTAAACCTAATTCATATTTTAATAACTTTTTCTAAGTTTTTGTTTTTTTTTTTTTTAGATAAATTGTTAACTCAATCATTTTATATTGTCCTATGGGAAAAAATATAATGTTCATCAGATGTTTTAGAAATGCTTTTCTATGGAAAGATAGAACTTTATTATATTTCCTGTTCCATATATGATCCATTTTGGTGTCCAGTCTTTTGGCTTTCCTGGACCACAATTGGAAGAAGAATTGTCTTGGACCAGTTATAAAATATGCTAACATTAACAATAGCTGATGACCTAAAACACACACCCACACACACACCCCTACAACCTCATAATTTTTTTTTTTTTTTTTTTTGGGATGGAGTTTCGCTCTTGTGACCCCAAGGCTGGAGCACAATGATGCGATCTTGGCTCACCGCAACCTCCACCTCCTGGGTTGAAGCAATTCTGCCTCAGCCTCCCAAGTAGCTGGGATTACAGGTGTGTGCCACTGTGCCCAGCTAATTTTTTGTATTTTTAGTAGAGATGGGGTTTCACCATTTTGACCAGGATGGTCTCGATCTCTTGACCTTGTGATCCACCTGCCTTGGCCTCCCAAAGTGCTGGGATTATAGTTGTGAGCCACCGCGCCCGGCCTACCTCATAATGTTTTAAGAAAGTTTACAAACTTGTGTTGGGCCACATTCAAAGCCATTCTGGGCCCTATGCGGCCTTCGGGTGGACTGTGGTTTGGCAAGATTGGTCTATATCTTGCTTAAATAGCCACTAGCCACCTGTGGCTATTTAAACATAAATTAATTAAAATTAAGTAATTTAAAAACGAGTCCTTCATTTGCATTACCTACATTTCAAGTGCTCAATAGTAGCTGTATTTGGATAACACAGATATTAAATATTTCCACCATTACCTAAGTTCTATTGGTCAGTGTTAATGATCAATTATCTGAGACCATCAATTTATAATTAAATGCCTAAGATGATTTTTGTTTGTTAGCATCTACTAATACATTATAACATGTTTTGTAAGTGCAAATATCTGTTTAATTAGATCTCAGATTATGAAAGCAAAACCTTATAACTGTTTTTTGGAGTTTACTTTTTGATGATTATTCATATGTCATTTCTGAGCAGTCTGTATACATTAAAGATGGAAAACATGGGCAGATATCACCAGTGTTTTTTTATATTTAAAAATAACTTATATTTAAAATACAACAAACATGTACTTAGCAAAAATCATTCATATGAAAATAGGGGAATATAGTGGTTTTGAATGACATTGTTTTAAAAGCCAAAATAGATTCTCCAGGAGAGCCCCCCTTTTTTTTTTGGCAAAGATTTCATTATGGACCCAACACTTCTAGCAACCTGTAGAATGGAAGCAGTCTTCAAACCAAGGCCAATGAAATTTGAGGATACCAGCCACTAACACTGCATGTTTAAACTCATATTCTCAATTTTAGAATATCTTGTATGTGAGCTGTAGCTAGATTGAGCTTCAGAGTTCATTTAATGTCTCATCTATAGATCTTGAAGCGGACAATGACTTGCCTAAGTGGACATAGGTGCACAGTGCCAGTGCCAGAGCTGAACTCAGATTTAGTGATCTCAGTCATCTCAGTAACTCTCTGATTTGGTACTTGAGGTTGGTATTGCTTCTCTGCACCCTACAGTGTCTCAGGCTCCTGACCTCATGGCGTTTCTAATACCACCTGCTCTCTGCATAGCGGTGGATAATGGAGGAGGAGGAGGATTTTGAAAGCTCCCCTCTGCCCTTTTTTTTTTTTTGTGTTGTGGTGAGTTTAATGGCAGAACAGCTCACAGCCCTTTCCCCTGGGGGCCAACTGCCCGCAGCAGAGCAGGGCTGGGCCAGCAGGCAGAGGTTAAAACCCAAATCCCAACAGAAGGCACAGACCTGCACACACCACACCCACATACATACTTAGGGGACTGACAGGACACATGGGACACAGACCCGCCCTGCCTCTGGCCAGAGTACTGTCCAAGGGGATGGTGTAGGCTGCACCTCAGTTCATCTAACTCCCTCCCCAGGTCATTGGTCCAGGCCAAAGGATGGGAGAGGCTTTGAGTCTAGACCTTGTACAGCATCTACAGCAGATTGTTGTGGGCAAAGCAGCAGTATTCCAGGGTGCTGTTGGGCTTGGTCATGAACGCCAGCAGCAGGGGTGCAAGGGCCTTGGGGAAATAGCCCTGCTGCACCATGTGGTCAGCACCATCAGGGGGCCGTAGAGGTTGGCAATGGCCTTGACCTTGTCTTCACTCTTGAGCAGACCCATGTGTATGAGGAGCCTGGTGAGGAAGGTGTTGGAGTTGAAGGATGAGGAACTAAAGGCCTTCTTCATCAGGGCATCTATTGCATCCTGCACTGCTGTCTCACAGTGGCTTCGTCCTTGAACACATATGACACCTTTAGGAAGGCAGAGACCACCTTCTCGGGGTCAGGTGTGTCAGTCTGCTGGGCTATCAGCACAGAGCTCTTGGCCCCAGGTGTAGCACCTTCTCTGGAGATGGAAAGGCCAGGAAGGTGGAGACCTACAGGAGGTGGGGAGCACGGGAGCTGGCTTCCCAGGGTTAGGGTCCAGACTCTTCTGTGAGGGTGTGGCTGACTTCTTTCCCTACACTTGATGCTAAGGCTTTTCCTTTTCCCCTTCTTCCTCTTATTCTTCTTCCTTATCTTCTTCCTCCGCTTCCTCTTCTTCCTCTTCTCCTTCTTCCTTGTCCTCATCACTGAGGGATGCCAGCACCTTGGCCATGTTGAAGCCGTCCAGCACCTCCTGCAGCTGCTCACAGCCTTCTCCCAGGGTGTTGCCATTCAGGTCCAGCTTCTCCAGCTCAGCTTTGTCTGCCATGGCCTCAGTAACAGCCAGGGCAGCATCTCTCTTGATTTCACAGAATGACAAGTTCAGTTCCTTCAGCTTGGGCAGGCCACTGTGGATGGCATCTGCAATGGCAACAGCACCCTTGGAGCGCACCAGGCAGTCCCCAGAATTGATCACCTCTACCTGCTGCAAGGTCTTCAAGGTCTCGGCCATGGCCACAGTGCCCTTCTCACTGAAGGTGGTGGGGTTCAGGTTGATGACCTGCAGCAGGGGTTGACGGCAAAAGCCTGGGCCAGGGCAGTGACACCAGGGTGGTTGATCCCATTCTGTGGCATGTGGACCTCCTCCACGGTCCCAGTGACCCTAAAAGCTTCTGCCAATGCAGCGGTGCCATCGTTCCTCAGATGGTTTCTGCCAGCCACAAAGACCTTCAGGGCCAGAGGCTTGCTTTGGGCACTGGATTTCCAGTGACACTCAGTCAGAGCTGCAGCCAGGATCTTGCTGCCCCCAAAACCTATGCCGCAGTTGTTGAGCTGGAGTTCGTGCAGGGTGAAACAGGCTGAGCTCTTGAGTAGGGCATCAAAGCCTTGCACACCGTCAGGCCCGAATGCGTTGCTACTTAAATCCAGTTCCACCAGCTGGGCCCCAGCTGTGATGAGTCCTTCCCCTAGTGAGATCAGGGCTGCGGATCTCGGACCGCAGCCTCCCTGTGAACATGTCGCTCCAGTGGCAGCACTTCAACTCTGACTTCTTCTCTAAGGCCTTGGCGATGACTCGGGCTGCTTCCATGCCCACTGTGTTGCCTTCCAGACACAGAGTCTCCAACTTGTCAAAGTCTTCAGTCTCTTTAATCACATATTTAGCATCTTCCGTGGAGTTGAGTTTGAGGCTCTTGCCCTTGAAATTCAGCTGTCCCCTAGCCACCTGAGTCTTGGCTAGTTTCTCTTGCAGCTGAGGCCATGTTGGTCAGGCTGGTGGGCTCCCCTGGAGATCTGCAGACTTGGGGTCCAGGGGTCCCGATGTCCAGACTGCTTGTCTCTCCAGTCTCTTGGGCTCCTGGCTTCACGCTCTTCCAACACCACCTGCTCTCTGCACTGCGGTGGATGATGGAGGAAAAGGATTGTGAAATCCATCTTTTTTCTTCATATTAAGCAATTTGTTAGAGGTAGAGAAATCTGATTTTGATTTTATAACTGTTAAAAAATCTAATCTAGCTCCATATATTTTATGCACTATGGAGTGAAAATGAAGAGGAAAAGTAGAACATCTTAAAAAATCCCATAGTAATGCATTATATTTGAAGGAAAATTTTATGTGAATAAGTTTTAACATAAAATCTTAAAATTTTATGTGTCTTAAGTATATATTTTTGAATATTTATGATAAATTGATTTAAAAAACAGAAAAGGAACATAAATATGATTTATATATATATTTATATATATAAATAAAATTGCACTTTAGGTTCTGGGGTACATGTGCAGAACATGCAGGATTGTTGCATAGGTACATACATGGCAATGTGGTTTGCTGCCTCCATGCCCCCATCACCTATATCTGGCATTTCTCCCCATGTTATTCCTCCCCAACCTCCCTACCCACTGCTATCCCTCTCCATTGCCCCCTCAACAGACCCCAGTGTGTGATCTCCCTTCCCTATGTCCCTGTGTTCTCATTGTTCAACACCCACCTATGAGTGAGAACATGTGGTGTTTGATTTTCTGTTCTTGCGTGAGTTTGCTGAGAATGATGGTTTGTCTTCCACAGTGGTTGAACTAATTTACACTCCCACCAACAGTGTAAAAAAGTGTTCCTATTTCTCCACATCCTTCCCAGAATCTGTTGTCTCCAGATTTTTTAATGATCATCATTCTAACTGGCGTGAGATGGTATCTCAATGTGGTTTTTATTTGCATTTCTCTCATGACCAGTCATGATATGCATTTTTTCCTGTTTTTTTTTTTTTTGCCTCATATATGTCTTCTTTGGAAAAGTGTCTGTTCATGTCCTTCACCCACTTTTGAATGGGCTTGTTTTTCTCTTGTAAATGTATTTTAGTTCTCTGTAGATTCTGGATATTAGCCCTTTGTCAGATGGGTAGATTGCGAAAATTTTTTCCCAATGTGTTGGTTGCTGGTTCACTCTACTGATTGTTTCTTTTGCTGTACAGAAGCTCTGGAGTTTAATTAGATCCCATTTGTCTATTTTGGCTTTTGTTGCCAATGCTTTTGGTGTTTTGGTCATGAAGTCCTTGCCTATGCCTATCCTGAATGGTTTTGCCTAGGTTTTCTTCTAGCGTTTTTATGGTGTTAGGTCTTATGTTTAAATCTTTAATCCATCTGGAGTTAGTTTTAGTATAAGGAGTCAGGAATGGGTCCAGTTTCTGCTTTCTGCACATGGCTTGCCAGTTTCCCAACACCATTTATAAAGCAGGGAATCCTTTCCCCATATGATTCCTTTTAAATAAAATGAGTATTGTATGGAAACTAGACTAGAGAATATATTCCAAATAATTAATAATGGCTGTGTCTGAGTATTGTGGTTAATTACAGATTTTTCCATAATATCTGCCTTCTCTTCTGATAACAAAAAGAAAGATATATTTTAATTTGAATTGCATTTTTATTCAGGATGGAATAGTTTAGGTAATCATTTTGGCAAATTTAGAGCATTTTAAAAACAGGAAAATTTGTTAGATTTTATAGAGAAGACTAAACTGTGCTTAACACCTTATCTCTTATTAATTTAAAATATTTATATATATTTAGATTTATAATTTATAAAAGTCCCTTATGAAGGTTAATATTCTGTAAGAAATATAAATGAAGTTTACCTTATTAGAAGCTGTTTTAGCTCTTTAACCTTCTGGTATTAATAACAACACTCAAAACTTTTATCTTAAACCTTAACACCATAATTATCTTCTGAATTTAATATCTAATAACTTATACCCTTCTTTTTAACTTAGCTTTTGTTTATTTTCTATTTATATTGCTGTTAATTTGTCATATGCATATATATTCGCTAATTATTTATTCCACATTATTTAGCCCTTAAATTGCACTATTATTATTGAATATATTATCCTGCCTGGTTCATTAGTTTAATGTTCACATCTTGTTCTTCTACTTTGTCATAAAGTTTTCAGGATCTGGATCCTATGTGACAGGTATTTTATGCCACCCAGGGTTTTAATATATCATGGTAGGGTCTGGACAAGCACTTGTTGATGTAGTGCTTACCCCGCTCTTAGACTCTGAAGTACTAGATGGTTAGATTGCAGGAAAAGATTTTCCTTTACTTGGTATTCTTCCCACTGGATCTGGGAGCTCTGATTTGACACTGGGAGCACAGTGTCAAATAGCACAAATCCTTTGGGGTGCTTGGCTACTGGGTAGGATTTTAAAAGTACCTTTTCTTACAATTCTTAATGTGAAAATGCTTGAAATTTCCCTATTCAAGACTTAGGGTAAAGTGGACAACTACAAAGAATGATCTCTGCTTTTAGAAGGGTTATGGACTGTATTAGTCAAGTTTCTCCAGAGACACAGAACGAATAGACAATACATAGCTATATAAAAGATTTATTATGAGTTGGCTCGGCCAGGCGTGGTGGCTCAGGTTTGTAATCCTGGCACTTTGGGACTGAGACGAGTGGAACACCTGAGGTCAGGAGTTTGAGATCAGCCTGGACAACATGGTGAAACCCTGTTTCTATTAAAAATATAAAAATTGTCCAGGCATCATTGTGGCATGCCTGTAATCCTAGCTACTCAGGAGGCTGAGGCAGTAGAATCACTGAGACCTGGGAGGCGGAGGCTGCAGTGATCCAAGATCAAGCCACTCCCTCCAGTCTTGGTGACAGAGCGAGACACCATCTCCAGGAAAAAAAGAAGAGTTGGCTCATGTGAATATGAAGGCTGAGAAATCCCTTGATACGCTGTTTGCAAGCTAGAGAACCAGGAAAGCCAGTGGTATGATTCATTTCAAGTCTGTAAGCCTGAGAACTAAAGGAGCCAAGTGTAACTCTCAGTCAAAAACTGAATGCCTATGGGCAGGAGCAGATGACTGTCCCAGCTCAAGCCCTTACTTGGACTTCTCGCTCTCTGCTGGCCTACAATGGATTGGAAGATGCTCACTTGCATTGGTGGGGATGGGTCTTCTTTACTCAGTCTACTGATTTAAATGAAATCTCTTCTGGAAACATCCTCACAGACACATCCAGAAATAATGTTTTCCCAGTTTTCTGAGCATCCCTTAGCCCAGTGAAGTTGACACATAAAATTAACCATCACAGAGACAAGTGAACAAAGGGTGACCACTGTTGTGACAGGGATTTAGAGGGCCTCCCTGGAGAACAATAGAGTCCTCTCTGCTTTTCATCCCAGTGCGTCTTTCCTTCTGTCTTGTCTTTTCAGTCTGACCAGCTCTCAATAGGAGAGAATGGCCAGGAAAGGAAAAAATACAGGATTAGACTGAAAATGAAGACAGCCAGGTGAGCTGGAAGAGATAGTCTGAGATGATTTCTGGTTGCTCTGAAGGGGAATTAGAGCTCTAAGAGGACAGAGAAAGGCACTTCCTTCTTTCAGTTTATCTCAAGCTCTAAAAATCAAAACTCCCTGGAAACATGAAAGCCAGTAGATTCGATGTGTAATCATTTTCGAAGAAGATGCCTCCTATCTCTTTACAGGTTGTTTTCTTCTTTTCAGTAACTGGTTTGATTGAGCCTTCCCTATTTTGCTGCCACTTCCCAAATTGGTCTTTTTGGATGGGTATAGATTCTCTGACAAGGTGTTTATTTACGGGTACATAGATTTTCTGTCTCTTGCTCCTCTGGGTGTGCAGGTTGTGTTTTATTTTCCCTTTTTCTTTTGTTTGCTTGCTTGTTTCACTTCTTGATATTCCTCATAAGGAAAAATAAATGTTTTCTCTGTTGCTAGCTTACTTTCTTCCCCCAAACATTTTGGAGCAGCTTTTTTCTTTTTCCAATATTTTACCTCTTGTATGTTTATCCTCTGTGATAAAATACACTGCCTGCATGGGGAAATTCCTACTTGCAAAATAAACAGTTGTCTTTATTTTTAGGTCATGAAAATAATCAACTTATTTTAGAATTCTACTGGAATATACCTCATTTACAAAAGTTGGTAAGAAACAAATGTTTGCTTATTTTGCGGAGTTTCCAATTTTGGATGTAACACTTTATGTTGAGAAATATTAGTAAGTTAAAGTTTCAGAGGCCTCATGCAACAGAGGCTTAATAATAAGAATAAAGAGAACTATTATTTAAATAAAATTAGAGCTAATTCAGAGAGAAAGAGCAGGGTTTTTTTTTTGTCCCTGTCCAATAACCACTTCTCTGGTAGGTGTCTTTCATTATTTCTCAAGGCACAGTAGCTATGGATGACTAGAATTTCTGTAATAGTTCTTCTCTGATTTCTTTCGTTCTTATATTTTCTAAACTAATTGCTTTGTAACAATTGTTTCCAAACATAGAAATCCGGATTTACTTGATCTTCTAGACAAAAAAAAGTCTAGTTCTTGAATAACTGATTCATTAACAATGAAGAGTGTCCTAGGTCAGCCCCTTCAACCTCCCATCTTCACAGCTGTGTCTTTAACTGTTTAGCCTGGCTGATTGCACAAAATAGGAATTGTCTGTTTGCCAAATAAGGAAATAACTGTGATGTTAACAAGTATGCTGTAAACTCTAATGCAATGATCTATGAACTGGAGTTTGAGAACCAGTGCTTTAGACAAATTTTTAAAGACTTTTCTCACAGAGACTTTTCCTCACTGATACATAGAGTTGAGCTAGCAGAGCCTTCATAAGCCAGTGCTGAATGCATTAGAGCTTTTAACTTAGAAAATAAAGGAAAAATGTTCCAGAATAAGATGCTATCAGAAACCTTTTTCTTGTGCTCTTTTCTCATGAGAATGCTACGGTGGTG